CTGCTTGATTTTAGTAATCATTTCACGTGTATGTATATATGAAAATTCACTTTGTACATCTTGAATATATACAACGTTTGCCAGTTATACATTAATGGAGTTTGTTTGTTTTCTTTATTGGTTCATTTGTTTGAGACAGGTTCTCACTATGTACTTCAGGCTGGCCTCAAACTCATTGTGTAGCCCAAGCAGGCCCTGGAGTGCATGGTGATCCTCCTGTCTCAGCCTCCAAGTGCTAGAATTCCAGGTGTGTGCCTCCACTGCCTGTCTAGTAATAGAGCTTTAAAATATCCAGACATTTTCCTTCCTGCCCGATGGCTCAGGGCATCTCAGCCTGCCCCTTACCCTCATCCCTTTCACCAGTTCTGCCCTTTGAAAGGAGACCATGAAGCTTGGATTGGGTCCATTAGGAATCCCAAATGAGGAGGAGAACCAGAACATTAGTAGTACGTGAGTCACTGGATACTTCCTCCAAAGCTAATGTATTTAAAAGCTTTTTGTATCTTGAGCTCAATGAGAAATGCCTCAGAAACAGGTGTTTCAACCACTTGAAAGATTTTCTGTGGGAAAAATGATTGAATGTTAGTGGGGAGAGATTACTTTGAGTCACTGTGTTTAGAGGCCTCTTCCAGTCAGAGTCCTGAGTAATGCATAGAACTCTGTTTGCCGGCTACGGACTGACAAGACACGTGGCCAAGTACAGTGGATGAGTGGCCACCTGTGTGAGCCAGTATGGTAGTGGCCAGCCATTCAAGGCCATGGAGCCCTTGTAGTGGTGATAGTTTGAGCCTGGTGTGGTGGTGCACACCTGTGATCTTAGCACTTAGGAGGCTGAGGCAGGAGAATGGCCTTAAATTTGAAACCAGCCTGGACCGCATAGTGAGTTCAAGGGCAGCTTGCACTACATAACAAGACCCTGTCTCAAAAACAAAAGAACAGCAACAACAAAAAGAATAGTGTCTAGATAGTCCAGAACCATTGAGCGTAGGCATGTTAAGGTCCTTCTGTGTGCCAGGACCCTGTCTAGATTTGGGGCTCCAAGCCTTGTAGACTGGCGAGGACTGTACTTTGTGGCTGACAAATACTAGCACTAGTTTTAATGATAATTCTGAGTGCATATTAGAGGTACACATAAATGGGCCTCTGTATGATGTTCCCTTCCATGCAGCTCCCCTAACTGTCCCTCTTGAGCTTTCAGGTCATCTTTGCTACTTTTCATTTTTTTTAAATTCCCATACATGAGAGAAAACATGTTGTCTGAGTCACTTTCTCATCGCTGAGACACAGTCCCCGACATCCACACCTCTGGGGAGGAGAGGTTTATTTGGCTCACGGTTTGTAGCCGTTCCACTACAGTCTGCTGGCTCCAGGGCAGGGCATCCCAGCAGAGGAGAAGGAGCTCCAGGCTTGTGGCCTGAAGCAGGGACAGAGGCCTGGGGAAGAGGGCACTTTTAAGCCACGCCCACAGTGACCCCTCCTCCAACAGGCTCCCCTCCAACTCACAGTTAGCTGTGATTCATCAGTGGGACGATCTGCTGATGAGGGTCGTGCCCCTGCAGTCCAAATCCAATCACCTTCCAAAAGCCTCTGTAAGTGCAGGAGGCTTTATGGACATCTAGATAGAACCCATGACACACACGGTACTTGTCTCTGTGCCTGCCTTCTGGTGCTTAACCCGATGGCTTTTAGTTCTGCATGTGCATGATCCCCACTGCCTCTGGCTGAGTCCCATGCCATCATGTTCATTGCCTGGGTTCTACTCGCCTACCGCTGCCCAGAATGGCTGAGGTGGCCATGGGCTCAAATGGCCCTGCGCATGTGCCCTCCACTTCCTGTGGCTGTGTACTTGGGCTGGAGCTGGGTTACGTAGACTTTCTGGTCTTTTTTATGGTTTTTTTTTTTTTTTTTCGGTACTGGGAATGGAACTTGGGACCTTGTACTTGCCAGGCAGGTGCTTGTGCCACTGAGCTATATCCCTGGCCTTGTAGTTGTTTTCAAGGAGCTGCTGTAGTGTTTTTCCATAGTGGCTTCTGTAGTGGCTGCTCTACTTTATACTCCCTCCAAATGTGTGTCATGGTTCCTTTCTCACCTCATCTTTGCCAGCATGTATTTTGTGTGTGTGTGTGTGTGTGTGTGTGTGTGTGTGTGTGGTACTGGGGATTGAACTCATAAATCTTGCGTTTGCCAAGCAGGCACTTACACTGCTAAGCTAAATCCCCGGTCTCAGCATGTATTTTTTTAATTGATAAAATGCTGGAACTTATAGAAAAAATTTAAAAAAAATTTATTTTGAGGAGAAAAAAACAGAAAAATTAAGAAGCAATCAAAAGCTGATACTGTTTTTGTTTTTGAGACAGGGTCTCGCTAAGTAGCCCAGGCTGACCTCAAACTTGCAGTGATCCTCCTGCTTCAGCCTCCAAGTGCTGGGATCACACTCGTGCACCACTACACCCAGCTCTTCTTCTTTTTTTTTTTTTTTTTTTTTTTGGTACCAGAGATTGAACTCACAACCTCACATTTGCCAGGCATGCACTTGAGCTACTGAGCTAAATCCCTGGCCCCTAGCTCTTCTCCTTTGTTGTGTTTTTTTTTTTGAGACAAAGTCTTGCTTTGTAGTTCAGGTTGGCCTTGAACTCACTATGTAGCCCAGGCTGACCTCAAACTTCCAGTGGTCTTCTTGGCTCAGCCTCCTGGGTGCTGGGATTACAGGCATGCACTGTCACACCTGGTGTTTTCTCTTATTTTGAATGCCATGGTGGCCATTGCCCTGTGTAGCCCCTCAAGGTGCTTCTAGGTAGAAATGCTGTGCTTTCTGTTAACCCTTTCCTGGGTGTGATTGCAGACTTGCTGGCTTGCAATGTTAGAGGGGTAGAAGTTTGTACTCTATGCTGTTCCCTAACTTCTGGCCCACAGAAGGTGCCTTGTGCATGTTGGAGCTGAAACAGTGCATGTTCACTTGGGGAGGGGCTGAAACGGGACCCTAGCATGAGCTGCATAGGAAACACATGCACACGACTCCAACCATAGACTACTGGCATTTAGAAGGAAGTTGCAAAATCTTAAAAGTATTAGAATGTCCCACTTAACAGCATTAAATGATAATTGATCATGGGTGGCTAGTGTTATCCTGGGAATTAAGCTAATTAACACATCACATTGATTGAATAAAAGAAACCTCTATCACTGTTGACTCAATAGACAGCCTACAATAGCCACAGCCTGATGCTCACAGTCTCATGACAAACGAGAAAGAGACTTGTTTTTTGAGACAGGGTCACACTATGCAGTTCAGGCTGTCCCTGAACTTACTGTGTAGCCCAGCCTGGCCTCCAACTCATGGCAGTCCTCCTGCTTCAGCCTCCTAAGTGCTATGATTACCACGCCTGGTTGGTCATTTGTTCTCTGTGGTAGGACACACATCCATATAGCCAAAAAGCCCCAAAGGACACTGAGCTATCAAGTGAGAAGTGGCTCTGCCTTTCCCTGTCTCCAGCTGCCCAGCTGTGTCCTGACACCACTGGTGTTAGTTTCTGGTATGAACTGACAGATTTCCTCTCCCTGTGTATTTAAGCAAATTGAAACATGCATCTTCCCTCTGCCTCCAAGTCCCTGCCACCTACTTATTTGTGCCTGGCCCAGTCTGGCTTCCTTAGAACCTTATAGTGAGCAGAACTTCCACATCTGTGAGGTTGAGCTCCTCAGAGGTGGCTGTGGCCCTGTCCAGTCTGGGGACAGGCCTATTTCCTGTCGGATAGCCACCTTCCCTGTCTGGGTACCAGCATGAGCACATGTGCTGCTGGCCACCTCAGAGGACCATCAGACTCCTGGGAAATGATGATACCAACCTGATTCACTGACCTGGCATGTGCATATAGTTAGGGTAGGAAGGGAGGCCAGGTGGTGTATGCCTGTAATCCCAGCACTTGGGAGGCTGAGGCAGGAAGACTTCTGTGATTTGAGACCAGCCTGGGCTACATAGTTAGGTCAAGGCCAGCTTGAACTGTGTAGCGATGCCCTGTCTCAAAAAAACAAAACAAAAAAATTGTTTTTGAGACAAAGTCTTGCTAAATTGCTAACTTGCCCATTCTTTTTTTTAATGGAAGGAAAGTTTATTTGAAAAAATAAAAATGAAGAGTGAGGGAGAAACTGGCTCTGCAGAGTTTGGGCAAAGAAGAGGAGGAAGAAAGCCATTCTGGGTTTTTTTTTGGAGGGGGGGAACTAGGGATTGAACTCACGATTTCATGCTTGCCAGGCAGGTGCTTACACCACTGAGCTAAATCCCCAGCCCAACTAGCCCTTTCCTCCTGCCTCAGCTTCCTGAAGGATTATAGGCATATGACATCATACCGAGGTTTTTCTTCCTTTTCTTTTTGTCTTTTGCAGTACTGAGGATAGATGGAACCCAGAGCCTAATACATTCATGCATGTGAGGGAAGTGCCCTACCACTGATTTACACCCCAGCTCACTTTTTAAAACGTAAAATTAGATGACTTAGACTAATGTTATTTTAAAATCTACTAACTTATGTTTTTCAATGTTTAATTTTGTGAGTACACACTTAACAGTATGTATTGAGGCATTCGTCATGAGGAGCCGGGTGTAGTTGCACACCTCTTAATCCTGCCACTGCGTAGATTGGCCATCTCAGGCTGCATAGCGAATTTAATGCCAACTTGGACCACATAGTGAGATCCTGTCTCAAAAAACCCAAAAAACCAAAGCAAACAAACAATCCACATATGTTCACTGTGGGGAGTTGGTCCCGTGTACATAACACATCTATATATCTATACTATTTTTTTTATGTAGAGCAGGCTGGCCTTAAACTCACTTATGTGGCCCAGACTGGTCTCAAACTCATGGTGACCTCCTGCCGCACCCTCCCGAGCCCTGGAATTACAAGTCTGTGCCACCTGACCTGGTAACACATTTATATTCTTTCCAAATCCCTTTCCCCTCCCCTGGAATCTACCGAATTCTGACAGTACTCAATAAAGGCGGCGGTCTGGAAAACTCTTTATTGGCAGTAATTGGGTGGGGTCGTGGCAGTTGTAAAGAACTCAGCCCGAGGCAGTGTGGCTTCCATGCAGGCTGCAGTCCTGGCGCCTGATTTCAGGTCCCTTCTTATTTGGATAGCTTTTTCACAAACACTTGGAATTCTTCGAAACTGACTTCTCCATCACCATCCTTGTCCAGTTCTTTGAAAAGGTCATCTATGCTGCTTGGACTCTGGTTTCAGAAAGAAAGGATGGAACAAGGGAAGGGAGAGTAAACAAAATCAGATAGTGCTGCCTGTTTGTTTTCTTTCTTTCCTTTCTGAGGCAGGGTCTTGCTGTGTAGTCCAGGCTGGCCCTGAACTCACTATGTAGCTCAGGCTGGCCTCGACATTGCAGTGATCCTCATGGGTGCTAGGATCACAGCGTTCCGGGTGTGCAGGACCCTCCACTGCTTCTGCTTGCTGCAGCTCAGCCTGGAGAGGTGTGTGCCAGCCTGGGGCTGCCACAAGGCTGGGCCCCAATACCCTCGAGTGCTGGAAGTGTCACAGAGGTGCGCAAACCCTGCTGTCCCCTGCCCTCCCGCCGGCTGCTGTGCCCACCTTGAGCAGACTGGGGAACTCGGTCTGGACCAGCAACTTTAGCTCCTCCTTGGACAACTGGTCTGGATCACCTTCTTTGGCTGCATACTTTTTGAAAATGGTCTGGAGTTCCTCGGGAGACTTTTTAGCTGCCATGGTGGTGTCCTGCAAAGTGAGAGCGACGTGAGCTTTCCCAAAGGCTCCTGTGCCCTACACCCTGTACCCTGCATACAGGCCTGTGGGCCTCTCTCTTGCAGAGACACAGGAGAAAAGAGACAGGAGGAGCAGAAAGCGCTGGGTGTGAGGGCACTGGCTCTTCCAAGAGATTCCAAGAGAATCCTGGGGCAGGGGTGAGGTTCAGCAGTGGGGTATTGGCCTAGCAAGCTCATGCCCTGGGTTCCCTTTCCACACTGGATGAAACCTGCTTAGATAGTACATTCAGTGTCTATCCTGGGTACACACCTGGTAGCAAACAATCCCTGAAGACAAGTCCCACCATTGTTAACCACATCTCCCTGGTAGCTATAGTCTCAGAGAAAACCTGTCCCAGGTGATGCCCCAAGGGCACAGCCCCGTTCTCCCAAACCTCTGCTCCGCTAGTTCCTGATATTCTGAGAAGCTGAGTGCCCTGTGAGCAGGAACGCTCGCCACTGCTCAGACTGCACTGACCTGCTTGGCGACAGGTGACACAGGTGACGACACTTCACTGGGAGTCAGCAGAAGCATGAGCTGCAGAAAGAGCTCAGTGCTTTTATAGCCCCACAGACACACCACCCTGATTATGAGATTTCCCTTTTGTTTGCCATTAAGGGTAATTATTAATGATTTCTGAAACCCAGGCTTAAGAGTGCATGAACCTGTTAATTAAGGTCAAGATCCAACAAGGGGCCACTTATGGGTGTTCCATGGTCCAGAGTCCCAGGAGTGAGTCTGGAGGTGTCTGCCCCAGACTATAATGTCTGTCCCTCCCATATAGCACCAGGATATCTGCTTGCAGTTCGAATTTTGGATTTAGCTATGTGTGCAGGATTGCTTTCAACTCAGTTGCATATTTAGGCTTAAAAAATAGGCATTCTTCATATCCAGAAAAAAAATACTGTCACAGAAGGACAACATGACATAGCTTTTGAGATGACAGTCTGACCCTTCAGGTCCTGCTGTGTAAGGGTTTGAACACAGGGAAGAGTGAATGGAAGGATTGTTTCTTACAAGCGAGGCTTAAGACATGCAAAGGGGAGAGAAGAATCATTGGGGGTTTTATTTGGCAAAGCAAGATTACTAACATGATTATTTTTCAACATTTTGTTATTTGTTGTTGTATATCGACTTTTTCTCATTATTCTTTTTTTTTGAGACTGGGCCTTGCTATGCAGTTTTGGCTGGCCTTGAACTCACTATGCATCCTGAACTGGCCTCAACTTCCCAGTGATCCTCCTGCCTCAACTTCCCATTGGCTGTGATTACAGGTGTGCACCACCATCTCTGGATTACATTATCCTTTTTAATACCCAATATATTTTGTGACTCACTCTACAAACCTTGTGGAATCACTTGGCTTATGCTTATATAATTGCAAAATTGATATTTATTGGCAAGAGTTTTATGAAATAACTAGGACAGCCTGGTATGGTGGTGCACACCTCTAATCCCAGCACTCTTGAGGCTGAGGCAGGAGGATCCCTGTGATTTCCAGAGTGAGCTACAGAGTGAGTTCAATATCTTGTCTCAAAAAACAAAATAGCTACTAGAATAACTTGGACTTTTCCAGGGGACGTGGCTCTAGTGCTGGTTATAACTCATAGGAAGGAGTTCTACATTGACTTCAACAGTTGCAGGTAGCTTTGAAACACTTTTCCACTTCTGCACTCCTCCCATCTACAAACTAAAGCTTGTACAATCAGGCTTTCTCTCTGTGGCTTTGCAGCTCGAAATTTCTAAGGACTTATTTACACTGCAGGGCAAACAGGACCTCTTCCGGAGCTACTTGAGAGCTTCCTGCCAGTGCTGTGAGTTTTGTACATGTTGTTAGTGTCTGGACTCAGATTAAGTGGCAGTGGTGTGACCGGTATAGAAGATGCAGCAACGTGGTGGCTAGACCTAAGACAGCCCTTTTGGTTTTAGCTGTGAGATTTTGCACAAACATATTCTGATTCTGGCAGCGCTTTGTAATCAAACTTTTAGAGAATTTCCGGTGCTTTTATGTAGGCTCTGTTCTCCTGGGAGGAAGTGGGCTTTTCTGACTAATTATAGCAAGAACTATCTTTTTTTTTAATCTCTTTAAAATGTATTTCAAGTCTACAGAAAAGTGGCAAGAATAGTAGTGGGAACATCCGCCCACTGCTTGACCACTTTCACTAATGGCTAATGTTTCTGTCTTTATTTCCTGTTTCTCTGGACCACATGAAAATCAGTTTTGGGCACCTGGACACTGCCTCCAGCTCCTAAGTGTGTGTGTCTCCTATGGAAAGGACAGTCTCCTGCCTAATCATCAAGCCATTGTCACAGCCCAATTCCTGTCTCCCCAGTTGTCTTAATAGCATCATTATTATTTATTTCTTTTTTTGAGGCAGGGTCTCACTATGTAGTTCTGGCTGGCCTTGAACTCACTATGTAGGCAAGGCTGGCCTCAAACTTGTGGCAATCCTCCTGCCTCAGCCTGCTGAGCACAGCGATGATAAGTGTATGTGACCGTCTCTGGCTGAAATAGCCTAGTAAATCATCTGTTCTCTTCAATTATCACTTGCGAGCTAAAATTGATAGGTAAGTTATTGTAGTTCTCGTGTCTATATTGAAGGGATGGTTTAATATCCATAGATCATATGACAGCTAACATATCCTGTATAAACACACCTGTCTTGCACAAGACATGTGGTGCATATAACATATATACTTTCTAAGAAGCATTTTTGATGTAGTATAGGTTAAGAGCTTTTAAACCTACAATCAGAATGTTGTGGTGCACGTCTGTAGTCCTCGTGTTCAGAAGGCTGAGGCAAGAGGATCCATTGTGAGTTTGAGACCAGCCCGGGCTGCAGTGTGAGCTCAAGGGCAGCCTGAATTGCATAGAGAGACCCTGTCTCAAAAAGACAGACAAAGTAAAATGCAACACCCAAAACAAAACAGAAGAGCCTTTCAGGTTTCCAGTCTCATTTCAAGGGAAAGCCCTGGGTGGGCTGGGTCTGGCTATGCAGCAGAACTTGTACTGATAGAGCCAGGGCAGCCTGAACTCAACAGACAATTTGCTCATCCCTCCGGCCATGTCTTTCAAGGCTTATTTTCCTTCTTCCCCACGGACTGCAAAGCGTGAGGGTAAAGCTGCAGTTGGAAACATAGAAATCCACTAATAGATATTGTCATGAAACATTAACTGAAATTGTATGGAGACCCATGATAAATGCTGGGTGTGTTCCCAGAGTGCATTGTGAAACGAGAGAGGTGCTGCACGGCAGGCACAAGTTGCTCATGGAAAAATGGAGAGGCAAAGGTTACTTACCGCCTTGTGGTTCAATTGCCTGATCTTTGGACAGACTTGTTTTTTTTTTTCCCTAGGAAAACTGAGAGTAAGTTATTTTCAAAGCTCTGAGCATCGCTGGTTTTTTTTTTGGGGGGTGGTGCGGAGGGCTTTTCCTGAGATGGTGGTCTTGCTATGTAGTCTAGGCTGGCCTTGAATTCAGTGTGTAGCTCAGGCTGACCTCAAAGTCACAATGATCCTCTTGCCTCAGCCTCCTGAGTGATAAGATTACAGGTGTGGAAATTTCAAAAAGACTACATGCTGAATTGCAGCCATCCTGTAAAGGGACAGCTCCCCTCCCTCCCATACTGGTGCCTGGCTTTCTGGAGCCATAAATGGTTCACTTCCTTTCTCTTTCTAGCCTTGACCTGTGCTATCTCATGGCCTGTGGGTCTCTCTGGGCTCAGTAGCTGTCTTGGTAGCTGGGTTCCTGGGGGTTTGCAGGCCCTGTTGGGTGTTTATTTGTTCTGTGGGCGCAGTGTCATCCTAGCCCCCTCCACTTCTCCTGTGACCTCACCATTTGGTCTCCTTCTCTGATTCTGAGCCCAATGCTGCCTTCCCTGTAGCCCAAGAGGTTACGGGGCTCATCTTTGGGACCCAGGGTGTTCTTCTGGTATGGGGTGAGCTCCCCATGAAGGATGAGTGTGGCTGCTTGCTGTCCTTTGGCCATGTGACACCTCTACTGTATTATGATACAGCAAGACCCCTAAGGTGGTATGTGCCTATAACCCAGTGCTATATGAGAGGCTGAGGCAGAAGGATTCAAGTTGAAGCCCAGTCTGGGCAACATAGTAAGACTCTGTTTCAAAATAAAATTTTTTTTTAAAAAAGGGCCAGGAGTGTAGCTTAGTGGGAAGGCATTGATTTAAACCCCCATAACACACACACACACACACACACACACACACACACACACAATTAATCCCATCTGTGGAGTTGTGTGCCACTTAAGGTCCCAGGTTCTTTGGTTCCAAGGACTAGGATGTGGATGTCCTGGGGGAGGCCTCCTGAGGACTTGGTGAAAGTGAAGAGACAGAGCCTAGGCTGCGATGGCACTAACTACATGGTCATAAGGAGACTGGAGATGCCACACCCCCTCTCTCTGCCACCTGTGGACCAGGATGGCAGGGAATTTGCAGCTGCAGACAGTGTGACAGTGATGGGAGGGTCATGGTGACAGCAGCCCTGTGGTGTGGGAGAAGGGAGGGAGCAGCCTGTCTAAGCCCCATGCCGCCAAGGGAGGAAGTTGCAGCTGGAATCCACAAGGGAAGCACTGGTACCTAGGCCGTGATGGGTGATACCTGAGTGCCACCCAGATAGGATCTGGTTGGTGACATCTTAGACCTGTTTTGCACTCTTCAGTGAGGTGCAGGGAGTGTCAGCAGAGGTTAATGAGTGCCATGCCTATCCTTTGTGTGTGCCTTTACATCTCCTAATGCTTTATTACTTTTATTGATCCGTTTTTAATTTCTTATTCCACATGGCTGAGTTCCAAAACAGAACTAGGTGTGGTGGTGCATGCTTGTGATCCCAGCACTAAGGAGACTGAGGCAGGAGGATCACTGGGAGGTCAAGGCTCACCTGGGCTACATATCCTGACTCAAAACACCAAACAAGAAAAGACAGGTACAGGGATCAGTTGACAGCCAGTCCTTTTGTGGTAGGATAGGTGTTTCAATGTCAAGCCTAGGGGCTTGTGGGATGTTGGGGAGCAGTGTGCTGCGCAGTGAGCTTCTCCCCTGCTTGCCCAGTGATGCTGCAGGAGGGGCCTTTGAACCTGCTGTCGTGCTTCTGTTTCTCAGGCTTTGTGTGGCATGGCTTCGAGGAACACAGCTGTTCTGGTTTTTTGTTGCTGAGTCAATTTGCTTATTGCCTCAGAGACCAAAAGCTGTCATTTTGATTTCATTTCTGTATTTTTGGTGTTTTGGGACAGAGTCTCGCTATATAGTTCAGGCCAGCCTTGAACTCACTAAATGTGAATGAACTCCCTTCAGTATGATCTTTCAACTTGTATTTTCTTTTTATTTCTTTATTTTTTAAAAAAGATTAAGATGAAAGAGGACATAATAACACAGGTGAGAACAGAACAATTTAAGCAACACAGTGTTTCACTACAAGATAACCCAACAAAACAGTAGTTACCATAGTGTCTCTTTCCTTGAAATATTTGAGTATAACTTTGTATGCTATAGCATCGAACATATCAAGACAGTGTAAAACGATTCAAGAGAATGAAAGTATTACAGGGTATTTAGGACCAGCTAACGGAAAACAAACAATGGTTTCTATATTATCTCTTTGCCTATAAAAATTTTTGTTTATACTATCACATATAATAAAATCCAGTAAGATACAACATGATAAAACCAATGGAGACAGAAGAACAACAGTTTGGTGGGACTTCAAAACAAGATGATATTAAATCAGCACTAGCTATTATGATGTCTTGTTTTCTTCAAAATAGCTGTTCATATCATCACAGACAATAATATCAAACAGCCCAGAATAAAACCATTCAAATTAATGAGTGAAAACTTTATAAAGCTTCAAAGCCAGATAATGGGGAATCATGATTACCACATACTTTTATGTATTTGAATCATTTCTTACAATAGGGAAACTATTTGGTATACATACATGTGAGTGTGATTTATTTCACTTATGAGTATGGTCTCAAGCTGCATCCATTTATTTATAAATACATCAATGTGATCCCTTTATAGCTGAGTAGTACTCCATTGTATAGAAATACCACAACTTTTTTATCCATTCCTCAGTTGATGGACACTTGGGTTGTTTCCAAGATCTGGCTATTACAAATTGTGCTGCTATAAACATGGGTGCACATATATCATTGTGGTATGATGTTTTGAGTTCTTCTGGGAATATGCCTAGAAGTGGAATAGCTGGAACAAATGGGACTTCCCATCCCAGCTTTTTGCGAAATCTCCAGACTGACCTCCACAAAGGTTGTACCAGTCTACACTCCCACCCACAGTGCAGGAGAGTTCCTTTTTCCCCACAGCCTCTCCAGCATTTGTTGTTGGTAGTTTTCTTGATCCTGGCCATTCTTTCAGGAGTGAGATGGAATCTCAGTGTGGTTTTAATTTGCATTTCTCTAATGGCTAATGATGATGAACATTTTTTTATATATTTATTTGCCGTTTGTATTTCTTCATCTGAGAAGTGTGTATTCATCTCAGATGCCCATTTTTGGATTGGATCTTTGAATTTTGGGGGTCTGATTTTTTCTTTATATGTTTTAGACAGAAGTCCTTTGTCTGAGGGATAGTTCACTAAGATTTTTTCGCAGTTTGTGGGTTTTCTTTTCACTATGCTGGAGATTTCTTTTGACATGCATAAACTTTTTAATAAGAGGTGATCCCAGGTATTGATTCTGGGAAGTATTTCCCGTGCAGTTTGTGTCCTGTTCATGAATTCTCTACCTGTCCATATGTCTTCAAGGTTTCTACCCAATTTGTCTTCCAATAGATTTAGTGTTTCTGTTTTAATATTCAGATCTTTGATCCATTTAGATTTTAATTTAGTACATGGTGATAGGCATGGGTCTAGTTTTAGTTTTCGGAATATGGAGAGCCAGTTTTTCTCATCTTGTATTTTCATTAAGCTAATGCTGTGGTCTCTCTCCCTATGAGAATGGTGAGTCTCCTTACTTCCTATTACCTAGCTTTTACTCGGCTCTTTATTTATAATTTGGCTTTCTTCTACAAGAAAAACCATGTGATATTTAAGGTTGTGCTTCTGACTTACTTCACTTAACATTATGGTCTCAAGGTGCACCCATTTTGCTGCAAAAGCATGAAGTTTATATTTCTTCATGGCAAAGTAGTACTCCATTGTATGAGGGAGGGGGAGAAAAGAAGGGGCATGTGAAAAGAATGAAGATATATTGTGTACATGGACTAACTTCCCATGATGAATGTATTCATGATGTACTGTAAAGATGGAATAATAAGAAAAAACAGTTCTATGGGAGCTGGGCACAATGGTATGCACTTGTAATCGCAGCACTTAGGAGGCTGTGCCAGGAGGGTTGCCAGGAGATTGAGGCCAGCCTGGGCTACATAGTGAGTTCTAGGCCAGCCCTGAATTACACTTGGAGACCCTGTCTCAAAAGTAAACAAAACCACCACAAGGCCTTGCCACTCAAGGGTGTAAGAACCTGAACTTCCCTGCATTTGGGGCTCTGGCCGTACAGGACCCCATTGCTGTGGTCCTCTCTGCTGTCACCTAAGATGTATACAGAAGGCTGTACAGCCAAGACCTTGCATCACCTCCCTGTAGTTAGTCAAGGACGCAAGGTCCAGAGGCTCTAAATGCCCAGCTGATAAGATGGGACATTTTCTTAGAAACCTTTAGGAAGTGCTGTGCATGCATCTTGGGGCACTCAGCGTAGGGGAGAGAAGGGGAGGCCAGCTTAGGCTGTGCAGCTGGCTAACCCAGCCAAGCTCCTCCAGCATCCTAGCAAAAGCACAGGCTCCATGCCTGTCATCCCAGCAGTTGGACGGCCAGGAGGATCACTGTGAGTTTGGGGCCAGACTATACTACTTGGTGAGACCCTGTAACAACAAGAACAGCAGCAACAACAATAAAAGCAAAGCTTGAAATGTGGGCAGTTCTCTCTCTCGTTTACAAGGAGATAAACTCGGACTATTTTCTTTTCCCAAGGTGATTGATATGCCAGAACACAACCCTGGTGATCTCGGTGGAACCATGAGGCTGGGACTAAGAAGGACCATCTTCAAAACCCAAAATTCCATACTGAGTAAGGGTCTGAGATGGCTTTTTTAAAAGATGCTGTGTGTTGTGCTGAAACTCATCCTTCTGGGGGGAAGCTTGGCTCTGTCTCCTCTGGCAGTGTCACGAAGTGAGTCTCCCTCTTCTGCCACCCCTACCCTGGGGACCCTGTGCCAGGTGCTGTTGTTGCTAAGGTCTCCTTGTGGTGCTGAGCTGCAATGCAGGGTGAGTGTGCCTTTGCATGTGACCTGACATTGATTGCTCTGTCTTGCTGGTGGCTGAGGCAGGATGATTACAGTGAGTTTGAGGCCAGCCTGGGGTACACAAAAAGACCATCTCAAAAAAAAAAAAAATAAAACAAAGCAAAACAACCACCAGAGACCTCAGTTCCATGGAAGTGTCCACTCTGGATGTCTACACTCTGCTAGAGTTGGGACCTCTAGCAGGAGTAGCACAGGACCAACTCTGCCTTCCCAGGGCCGCAAAACAAGTGGAGAGCTGAGCGTGGTTACTAAGCTCACTGCAGAGGCTGAAGCAGGAGGATAACTTTGAGTTTGAGATCAGCCCAGGCTACACAGTGAGTTCAAGGGCAGCCTGAACTGCATAGTGAGACCTTGTCTCAAAAAACACAAACACAAACAAAAAACCTAGTGGGCAGAATGGGAAAGGGGAGGGGCAAGGCTCTAAAGAAGCTGGACACAGGGGTCTCAAGGTCTCTGGCAGGCAAGCCATCCCTGAAGTGCTGAGTCCCAAATGTGAGCCTCGCAGGGGTGGCTGTGTCACAGAGTGCTCACCCTGCATGCAATGTGGTTCAGGACCAGAAAACCAAACAGAAGTCAAATAGAGGTGTAGTGGTTCATACCTGGACTTGCAGCACTCTAGGAGGCTTAGGCAGGAAGATTAGAAATTCACACCCAGTGTGGGCAACTTAGCAACTTTTTTTTGGAGACACTCTCACTATGTAGCCCAGGCTGGTCTCAAACTCACAGTGATCCTCCTGCCTCAGCCTCCCTTCAGTTCTGGGATCAGAGGGGTGCAGCACTACACCCAGATCTGAGACCAGGTCTGAAGATGAAAAAAAAATGGCTTAAGGTGTAGCTTGGCACAGAGGCCCTGGGTTTGATTCCAGAATTACAGACAAAGGAGCAAGCCAACAAGAATAACTTAGGAAACTGTTGACTCTGGGAAGAACAAAATGTGGGGTGGGAGCTTCTCTTTTAAAGACGAGTTCAGCCCTGCCCACCTCCTAGAACAGTGTGCATGTGCCTGTGGGTGGGTAGGTGCCTTCCCAGGGAGCGCACCCCTCCCCAGGCTGCTGCAGAGTGCAAACGTAAAACTTATTCCTGTCCTGTGTGGCTGCGATGACTTTGGCTTTCTCATGTTTTCAAATATTCTGAAACTGTTCAGATAATTGCCTAAGTCACAAAAGTGGTTAGTGAAAAAAAATAATGTTTTAAAATTTTATCTGCTGGAAAAGATTCAGAGATAATTGTGCCAAGCTTTTCAAAAGAGCATTGTGCTCAGTGTACCTAAAGACCATGGAAATAAGACAAATTTAAGACTAATTTTTCTTACAGTAGACAAAAGTAGTGTTGATGATTTTTTAAGTGAATTTTAAACACAGTATCAGAGCTTATTTAAGACGTTCTTTTAAATAGCTTTAGTGATATAATTCAAATACCTCGGCATTCAGCTCTTCCTAGTGTACAGTTGCCTAGTTTTTATCAGATTCAGAGTAGTGCAACCATCCTCACAATTTGAGAACATACTATTATTTATTTATTTTTTAAAGAGAAGGTCTTACTGTGTAGTTCAGACTGTCCTTGAACACACTATGAAGTGCAGCGATCCTTCTGTCTCAGCCTCCCAAGTAGTGGGATTACAGGCAGGTGCTGCCATAGCCAGCGTGTAGTTTTTAATTATAGCCTAACTTTTTCACCTATTGGGTCTTCATGTGTATTATTTGGGCACATAGTATTTCTTCTCTTTTTTTTTTTTTTTTTTCTTTTTGTTGAGATCAGGTCTTGCCGTGTTACCCAGGTGGCACAGACTCATAACTCCTGCCTCTGCATCTGGGTTAGCTGGGAACACGAAACGTGCCTCTGTGTTGGGCCCCTGGTATGTAGGATTTAATGGACATAGGGAAGTGAATGTGCTGATGCATTTCCTGTTGATAAACATTTCAGCTGGTTTCTGATGTTTTATTAGAAAAATGCTGATTCAGACATCCTGGCGGTGTCCCTTAGGATAGGTCTCTAAGACTTGAGTGATTAGGTGAAGGGTAGGGACACTTTTATGACTGATAAACTGTTGGAGGGTTTGGAAGAACGGGAGGTGGCTGCAGATCTAGAGCTCCTGCTTTCCTGGCCTTACCTGTAGTGTTTTCTTTTCTCTGCTTCCATAGGGAGGACAGAGGGGCCCTTGCTTGTGGGCTCCACTGCGCTTGCCCTTTGGGTGCTGCCCAGTGAGCCTGGACCTGCTGTGTTGATTCACCAGTACTCGGTCTTTTTTAGCCTGGGATCAGGGGCTCTTTCCCCAGTTAGCTGGCCTTAGTGGCTAGGCTGGGGGCCAGAAAACTCTTATTCTCCTTCTCTCTTGCTAGATTTTTGGGACAGGTTCTCGCTGTGTAGTTCTGCTGACCTTAAACTCACACTGTAGCCCAGGCTGGCCTTGAACTCACCTTGATCTTCCTGACTCAGCCTCCTGAGTGTTGGGATGGCAGATGTGTGCCTCCATACCTGGCTTAGGAGACTTTCAGTGAAGGGCCAGTGAGTGACCATGGCTGTGTTCCAGGAAACTTTATTCGTGGCCACTGAAATTGAATGTCTTGTACTTTCTGTGTCACGAAGTTTTTTTTAGCCATTTAGAAATGTAAAAAATATTGTTAGTTTGAGGTCCTAACAGAAACTGGGTGCTCATATTTGTCGGTGGGCCTGGTTATACTTTGTGAATGTGCAGAGGTAGAAGACAACATCTCAGCCACGACAGTAAGCATGCCTGGAATCCTGGGACTGAGGAGACGGAGGCAGGAGGATCTCTGCAGGTTCAAGGCCAGCCTGGGCTACAGAGTGAGACCTTATCTCAAACAAAAAACAGAAAGCCAAAAAAAAAAAAACCACCCCTTTGCATTCCTTCACATTAAGGAAGACGTTGACTAAGTTGTTGGTTCTGCCTTCTTGTAAGAGAAAAATAGAGTTTTGAAGGCAGGGTTAAGAGGCCACTAGGAAGTGGTGTTGACAGTGCAGTGGTGGCTCTGGTCACATTCTAGGCATTAACGTCAAAGTGGTGAAGTGGGGAATCCATAAGAGAGCGGGAAGAAACGAGGATAAGGCAGAGCAAGTCCTCTGGGCTGAACAAAACTGCTTTTGCTTTCTTTTCTCTTATCCCAGCACTGATACCAAAAAGCAGCTTCCAGTTTCTAGTGAGATTAGATGGTTAGGAAGTTTTTTTTTTTTTAATTTAAAAAAAAATAAAGGAGATTAAGATAAAAGAGGATGGTTAGGAAGTTTTAACAAAACAGAATCTTTGGCTGGGTTAGTGAGGTGATCTGCAGAAGGGTTTAAAAGTCCACACAGTGGTCATTTGTCACTGCTGAGCCACACGTCCTGGTGAGTTTCCTGTTACATGGGCCTGGGCCAGTTGCTCACTTGGTAGTGTGGAGGTGTGGTCAAAAAGTATGGTGAGTGTTTACATTTAAAAACTTATTACAGTAAAGCACTCATTGCCATGAAGTGCCCTCAGGAACCTTGCCTCGACTGCGAACACACCGAGCCTGTCATTCCTGCCACTTTCTGCAGTAGCTCTGGAGTTCTTTTTCCTGGGTGTCTTTAGTTGCGCCATCGTGACTGTCACAATGACCTGAATCGACTGAGAATGGTTGCCGTTCATGGTCATTTTGCCTTTGGGAAGAGCCAGGAGTTGCATGGTGCCAGGTCTATATAGTGGACAAGGGCACCTGTGAGGTGTTTGCAAGCTGCCTCTCCATAGCTTGGCACTCTGCAGCAGCACTCACTGTGTTGTTGATCACACTCTAGAAGGCCCCCAGGAAAGAGGGCTCCAGAAGTACTACAGCAAGTGGCAAGGACCATGGGACTAGATTAGTGTGTTTGAAGCCAGGAGACGATTCTGAGGGGCATTTACAGCCAAGAGTCTTTTACAGTAATAAATGCTTAATTTAAACATTCATAGTATGTTGTGATGGCCCCTTGTAGGTCAGGGATGTGACCCGAGCAGTAGATGACACTAAATACCCCTCTTACTGACAGCTCTAATCACCTCGCCACTGGCAGCCATGGGGTTCTGAGCATAGTCCAGGCACCACACACCAAGAACCTCCATGCCTCTGCTGTGTAGTTCTGCTCATCTCTGCATCTGGAAGTCGGGGAGAAGAGCACCAGGCTCCAGGGTGCTTATGGGGCTAACTGGGTCCTCCCTGTGAGCCCTTAGACCCTGCCTGGTGGGGAGATGGCACTGCTCAGGTGGGCAAGGGGAAATGTGAAGGCAGAGCTTGGAAACTACAGATCAGGAACTGCCATAAAGAATGCTGCTGGAGGGACTGGGGATTTAGCTCAGTGGCATAAGCGCCTGCCTTGCAAGCAGGCAGTCGTGAGTTCAATCCCCGGTACCGATAAAAAGCAAAAAGACAAAAAAACAAGAAAAGAATGCTGCTGGGTGTGGTGGCACACGCCTGTGATCCCAGGGCTCAGGAGGTTGAAATGGGATTGCATGAGTTCAAGGCCAGTCTGAACTACACTGTGAGATCCTGTCTCAGAAAACTGGAAACACACAAACCAAAAATAAAAATAAACTAAAAAAGAATGGTTTGGGTGCACACCTGTAATCCCAGCACTCTGAGATGCTGAGCCTGGAGGTCTTCAAGTGTGAGCCCAGCCTCAGCAACTGACCTAGCAAGATTGTCTCAAAATAAAACAAAGAAGGGCTGGAGATGTAGTATATTGTGCAGACAATGGGGTTCAATTCCTACTTACCTCTCCCTCCCACAAAAACCATATATATATATATATATATATATATATATATATATATATATGAGAGAGAGAGAGAGAGAGAGAGAGAGAGAGAGAGAGAGAGTCCTCTGTGATCCACACAGATACAAATGGTGTGGACATGACTTGTTCTTGCAGGTAGGTGGACGCAGGGAGGGCGGATCTGCTGGCCACCAGGCTTCATAACTGTAGACTGCCATTTAGGCCATGGTGATGGCTGGATATCACCATATTGTAGATGCAGAACCTTTCAGAGCTTTCAATGATAATGAACAGCTGGCTGTGCACAAGTGCCACAGGTTCGCCATCGCTGCCTTAGATTATTGCTGGGAGCCTGTGATCTAGAGCCTGTGGTAAATGTGCCCCAGAGGCTTGCTCTGGAAGTGTCATGGTGTGGTTCTCAAAATGATTATTCCAAGCCAGGTGTGTTGGCACACCCTGTCATCCCAGCGCTTGGGAGGCTGAGGCAGGAGGATTGCTCTGAGTTTGAAGATAGCCTGGGCTCCACAGTGAGTTCAAAGCCAGCCTGAGCCATAGGGCAGGACTGTTGTCTCAAAACTTAAAAAAAATAGTAGTAGTAATAAAGCTGATGTCTCCAGGGCTCATCTTTCTCTCTGTCTTTCAGGGAAACTGTACGGCGATGTCCCGTTCATTGAGGAGAGACACAGACATCGCTATGAGGTAGGCCTGTCATGAGTGTTAGCATCTGCCGGGGCATGGTGACTCTGTCATTCTCTATAGGAGGGGTCACTGCACCTCTTTTAAACCTCGGCCCTTCCTTTTCAAGCTTGAGTAAAGGGGTGTCTAACAGGGATCTGAGTGCCTTTGGGGATGGCTGTTTTCATGTGGTGGATTCTAGGTTGGGGATCCTCTTTGCGAGGTTACATTGTTACATGACTAAGGGGACTTAAATATTGTCATTGCCATGTGGGAGCTGTAGGTGTCCATAGACACAGACTTTCTGTATCAGGATTAATTAGTGTATTAGTTAGGATGCACTGAGCTGCAAAGAACAGAAATTTGTTTGTTATTCACTCAAGTTAGTCCAAACAGTAACATGTGGTGTTACATGTCGTGGTACCAGCACTTGGGAGACGGAGGCAGGAGGGTCACCGTGAGTTCAAGGCCAGCCTGTGCTACATAGTGAGACCATGTCTTAAAAAAAACAAACCAAAATAAGGCATTGGTAGAGTAAGTATGAGTTAGGGGATCAAGGAAAGCCATCCAGCTGACGATGGACCTTTTCAGAAGCTTAAGCATCTGTATTCTGCTGTGGCTTAACGACATTGGATTTCTTGTATCTCCAGGTGAACCCTAAGCTGATCAGCCACTTTGAGCAGAAAGACCTAGCTTTTGTAGGTCAGGATGTCGATGGGGATAGAATGGAAATCATTGAACTGGCAAGTAAGTAGCCTCTTTTTTCCTGAAAGGCTTTGAGATGCACTGACAGCTTTTATCAATCCCAGACTCATTGGAGACTGAGTTTCTTTGCTGTGTTTCTATTCTGCTTTTCTTTGAAATGAATAGGCAACTATAGGGTGCATGAAAAATAGCCGGGCATGGGAGGGCATATTTATTATTCCAGCACTCAGGAGGCTGAGGCAAGAGGACTTCTGTGAGTTTAAGGCTAGCCTGGGCAACACAGTGAGACCCTGTCTCAAAAAACAAAACAAAAAATGTTTGAAAAGCAGATGGCTTACAATTCTAGTCGTTTGGGGGCCTGGTGATCTGAACCTACCAGAAACTGATGCATTTTTCCCAGGGCAGTAGTCCTCCAAGTAGTTGATTTCCTCGCCTTACTCCAGTCCCTACCTGGAGCTCCCTGTATGAACTGCTGGACCAGACACTGTGCACTGAGCCTACAGCTCTTATCACTGGTGCTCTGCTTGCTGTCCTTTGTTGAGGAGTGGCCACCCATTCCTTAACAAAAACAACCTCGGGGGCTGGGGATTTAGCTCAGCGCATAAGCGCCTGCCTTGTAAGCAGGCACTTGTGAGTTCGATCCCCGGTACCGATAAAAAGGAAAAAGATAAAAAACAAAATAAAAACAAACAAACAAACAAAAAACCAAACCAAAACAAAACAAAACAAAAAAACAAAAACAACCTGGCTCCTGCCTTTCCTGACAACTCAGGCTTGGGCCACTTCACTTGTGAGCACTAAACTGCACTCACAGTTCTTTATAACCAAACAAAGAAGCTGGGCTCTGGAAGGCTGTTAAGGGGAGAGTTGCCCAGCCTGGGCAAGTTAGTGACTTGTGGAGATCTTGCTTCAAAATAAAAAAGATTTTTTAAAAATTTAGAAAAGGCAGTGAAGGACTTATGGGAATATGGCAAAGTGGTGAACAGCAGAGAAACAGCCTCTCTGAGATTTGGCATCCAGATGCTAGAATATAGCAGTGTGAGAAAGAGAAGAAGAGGGAAATTGGCCTCCAGGACCCACTGAGGATCTTCAGTGAGAATTGAAACCCATGCATGGGGAGAGCAAAGAGAGAACTCACAGTGCAGAAGAGTGAGTTGGCAACTGATGTGTTCTCCGTGAGCTCTGAATTTCTATGTGGGAGAGGGTGGTTTGAACTTGTAGATGTATGGCAACCCCAGAGGCCTCCTTAGAGAAATGCATCAGAGGGACATTGCAGTGGATACAGTGTTTCTGCCAGTGCCTGGTGAGTCATTCTGGTTCAGGTGTCCTGCAGGAGAGGGCGATTGGCTGGTAGCCATCTTGCAAAGGGTCCAGCTGAGCTCAGAACTCAGAACAGCTGCAGGCTGACTCCATCTAGGGACTTCTAGTATCAGAGTGAGGTGAAACCAAGTTCAAGTCAGCAGGACGTCAAGGAGCTGAGTTCAAGTCGTCAGGAGGCACATGGAGTATTGCAGGGTGAATAAATCAGGTTCTAATCTCACAGCCAGAAACAAGCCTGCGCGTCAGTGGAACTAAAGGTGCAAACTTGCTAGGATTTTATCCACTACCCTGCCAAAAATCTGCAGTTGGGTGGCCGGAATTAATCAACACAGATCTGGACTCTGCCTGCCCACTCTGTCTCTGCACAGCAGAGACACAACTTGAAAGTGGACATTTTTTTTTTCTTTTCTTGTTTTTGTTCTGTTTTGCTTCTTTTTCTGAATTGTTTGTTTTTGTATGATTGTGAACATTGTTTCTAGTTTTTTTTGTTGTTGTTGTTCTGTTTTGTACTTTATATTATTTCTCTTTCCCTCTGGTCTTCTTCACCAGTGTCTCAAAGTTCTTGGAGTATTTTGTCCTCTACACTTGCTGCTAATCTCTTCCTCTTCCTTTATTTCTCTATTTTTTCCTCCTGACCTGTTTTAAATTTTTTCCTCTGAGGGTAAAATTGCCATACTAAGGGCATATTTACTGTATATAATTTTCTGGTTTGTTTTAGATTTTGTTATATACCTACAAATCTAGTTCATATGGTTAAAGGTGTCAAGTTAATGGTTACCTGAGTTTGTCATTTTTTAGGCCTTGTTTGACCCTACTGTTATTGCTGGTTATACTACCTTAGATAAGGTGACATAATTGCCATAATTACTTGTTCTTCCTACTATGCCAAGATTGAGATTGCCTAAATAATACTATAGGCCAGTACCAAAGAACCACACACTAGGACAAATAGGCAGCAACTTCTAGTCCCCAATAAATTGAAGTAGGATCTTGAAGTAGATTCAAAACCCAAAAGCCAGCAATACCTGGAAGACATCTCTGATAAGTAGTCATTTCCTAAGGGTTCTAAATATTAGCAATAAAGCTATCTGCCATAAGTAATTATAAGCAGCAATCTAGGAATTAAACTAAAAAAAGATGAAAAGTCACTTAAGTAAGATGCAGCCCCAGACTTCTAGCTCACCAAAGACAGACCTAGGGGGCAACGAGGTGGAACAATCTGAAAACCACCCACCTGGACTCTGAAGTGGTGACAGTGGAAGTAACAAAGCAGAAGAATGAGGCTCTAGAAAAAGTCAAATCAGAAATAATTTCTCAGATACCTATGGGGATGGTCACCATAGTGAAAGACATGGTTAGTGACTCTAGAGAGTTACAGATTAAAAAAAGAGAAATAGAAGAGCTTAGGACTTTGATGGAACCCATTAATGCCCAACATAGGAAAGAAATGGAATCCATCAAAGAGATTCAAACAGATATCCAAGAGATTAAAAATTCTACAGAAAGTATATGCAACAAAAAAGAGCCAATGTGGGGATAGAATATCAGATATAGAACACAGGATTGTGGATAGAGAATGTAAGAAGAAAGATTTCTTTTAAAATAACAAAAGACAGCTGGGAATTTAGCTCAGTGGCATAAGCATCTGCCTGACAAGCATGAGGTCGTGAGTTCGATCCCCGGTACCAAAAAACAAACAAACCCCAAAGACAATGAAAAGTCAGTCCAAGGGCTGCTAGATGATGCAAAAAAGAATAACATAAGATTGGAGTCAATAAAAAAACAGGAGAGCCAGGAATAGTGGCACACATCTGTAATACCAGCACTCAAGGGGCTGAGACAGGAGGATTGTGAGTTCTAGGCCAACCTGGGCTACATAGTGAGCTCAAGGCTAGCCTGAACTGCATAGCAAGACACTCTCTCAAAAGAAAAAAGAAAACAAAAAAGCAAGAGATAGTACAAAAGACATAAAAAACTTGTTCACAGACATAATGGCAGAAAACTTCCCAAGCATGGAAAAAAGATTTGATATACAAATAAGAGGTATATAGAACTCCAATTAGCCATGATCAAAAAAAATCTATACCAAAGTATATAATAGTCAGGATTCCAGAAATTCAACACAAGAACAAATATTAAAAGCTGTTACAGAGAAGAAGCAAGTCACCTATAAAGGAAATCTTGTCAGAATCACAGCAGACTTCTCAATACGTTTGTTTTGAAGCTTGGAGTAAAGTATTTCAAGCTCTAAAGGGAAAAAAAGCCTCCAAAGCAGATTGATGTACCGCACAAAACTATCTTTCAAATCTGATGGAGAAATAAGATACTTCCATGACAAAAAATATCTGAGGAAATTTATGACCATTAAATCAGCACTCCAAAATGTTTTGAAGGACATTCCAGAACGAGATAACAAGGACTACAAATCCATGAACCCTGACAGAAGGAATCCACCAGGTAAGGCAAACAATTAAACAGAGGAAGGGAAAAAAGAGGAGGCGCAAACAACAGGAAAATAACATGACAAGGATAAGTCAATACATATCAGTTATAACAATCAATGTTAGTGGTCTCAATTAAATCAAAAGACACAGACTGAAGCAAGATCCAACAGTATGCTGCATATAAGAAATATATTTAATTTGAAAAATTCATAGACTGAAAGTCTAAGGATGAAAAACAGTCTTCCATGTGACAGAAACACGGAAAAAAGCAGGAGTAGATATTCTATTTGCAGACAAAGTAGATTTCTTTTTTTCTTTTTTTATCGGTACCAAGGATCGAACTCACAACCATGCGCTTGCAAAGTAGGCGCTTATGCTGCTGAGCTAAATCCCCAGCCCTAGACAAAGTAGATTTCAAGCCAGGACTGACTAAGAGAGACAAAGAAGGTCACTGCATCCTTATAAAGGGAACAATCCAAGAGGAAGAGATAATGACCATAAATATATATGCAACAAGCTGGGTATGTTGGCACCCACCTGTAATCCCAGCACTTGGGAGGCTGAGGAAGGAGGACTGTCACAAGTTTGAAGGCAGACTGGGCTACATAGTGAGTTCAAGGCTAGCCTGAACTGCATAGTGAGACCCTATCTCAAAAGGCAAAACAAAACATGGAAAAAATATATTTGTAACAAATACCATGCATCCAACTATATAAAACAAATAAATATTAGTAGATATGAAAACCCAAATAATCACTAACAATTATATTGGGAGATTCAGTATTCCACTGTTGCAAATGGATAGATCAACTAGACAAATCAACAAAGAAATATCAGAACTAAACTAAACTTTTGAACAAATGGACTTAGTAAATGTCTGTGGAATTTTCCACTTAACAACAAAAGAATATGCATTCTTCTCAGCTGCACATGGGACATTCTCTAATACAGACCATATACTAAGCCATAGAACATGCGTAAGTAAATGCAAAGGAAATGAAATCGTCCCCTGCATATTATCTGACCATAGTGCAATAAAATTAGAAATCAGTGGCAAAAGAAACCATAAGAACTTCATAAACACATGGAAATTAAATAACACCCTCCTGAATAACCAGTGGTCACAGATGAAATTAAAGAATAAATTAGACAATTTCTGTAATTAAACAATAATGCCAGTACAATATACTGGAATTTATGGGGTGCAATGAAGCAGTCCTGCAGAGGAAATTTATAGCACCAAATTTCTGTATTAGAAAAGTAGAGCAAGCTCAAACAACCTAATAGTGAATCTCAAGCTTCTAGAAAAAGAAGAGCAGGTCAAGCCCAAAGTTCATATGAGGGAGGAAATTATAAAGATCAGAGCAGAAATTAATGCAGTGGAGACTAAGAAAACAATCTGAAGAATCAATGAATTGAGAAGATGGTTCTTTGAAAGATTAAATAAAATCAACAAACCTTAGCCAACCTTATGAAAAAAAGGAAAGACAAGACTCAGATCCATGCAGTTAGGAATGAAAAGGGCGAAATCACAACGGACCCTTCAGAAATCCAGGAGATCATCTATCCCTACTATGAGAACCTGTATTCTAATAAGATGGAAAACAGAAGAAATGGGCAGATTCCTAGATTCATATGAATTACCAAAACTGGACCAAGATATTAAAATTCTAAATGAACCAGTGTCAATCAGTGAAATTGAAGAAGTAATAAAAGCAACAAAGGGGTTTACTACTGAATTCTACAAGGACTTTAGAGGTGATACAATGCCACTACTCTTCAAACTCTGTAATGAAATTGAAAGAGAAGTAATACCCCCAAATTCATTGCTGGAAGCAAGGAGAATCCTAGTACCAAAAACAGAGAAGGGTCCCACCAAAAAAGAAAACTATAGACCAATCTCCCTAATGAACATAGAAACAAAAGTCCTCGATAAGATACTGGCAAACAGAATGTAGCAAATCATTAAGATTATACCAAGACCAGGTAGGATTCATGCCAGGGATGTGGGTATGATTCAACATATGTAAATCAATAAGTGTAATTCACCATATCAACAGAGTCAAGAACACCAACCGTATGACTATCTGAATAGATGCAGAAAAGCATTTGACAAAGTCCAATACCCATTCATGATAAAAACCCTGCAGAAGACTGGAATATATGGTCTTTAACTCTGATAAGAGCCATCTATGACAAGCCAACTGCCAGCATCATAGTAAATGGAGGAAATCTGAAAGCCACCATGCCCAGCAGTGTATTAGAAACCTATTATCTTAAGGGATGAGCTGCCCAGCCTGAAATGTGAGTGACATCACTGCAGCCATCACGGTGCTGCGGTTAATACCCAGTGGAAAAGCTGGCACTCCAAAACCTCTGGCGGCTTTTGCTCCCTCTGCTGCTTTCCACAAATAAAATCCCAGATTCAGACGTGTTTTACAATGTAGAATTCCACTTCACAAATGAATCAGGAAAGTGGGGCATGGTGGCGCATACCTGTAATTCTAGCAATTGGGAGGCTGAGGCAGGAGGATCGCCTCGAGTTCGAGGCCAGGGGGAAACTGTCAAAAAACCAAAAATAAAGAAATAAAAAAATCAAAAGATGAAAAAGAATTGTGAAAGTAAGATGGCCACAAGTTAAACAATCTTCTTGGCCTGCAGTGAGTTTCTGTACTGAATGATAGGACAACCTTCCCACGGGTCTCATGTCTGTCTGCTCAGTCACGTCTTGACTATTGTCATTTCAGATCATCCCTATTTCGTTGGTGTGCAGTTCCACCCTGAGTTTTCTTCCAGGCCAATGAAGCCTTCACCTCCCTATCTAGGGCTTCTGCTCGCAGCAACAGGGAATTTGTGTGCATACCTGCAGCAGATGGGCCCGCTGTTCCCCGGGTAAGCTGCCCATTGCTCAGAGTGATATCACCAAGGGATGGCTTTGATTCAAAGGGGCACTTTTTCCCTTTAAAGTTTTGTTTTCATGAAAATAATGACTCAACAGGTGTGTGGAGCATGCCTTTTAATCCCAGCGTTGAGGAGGCTGAGGCAGGAGAATTGGTGCAAGTTTGAGGCCAGCCTGGGCTACCTGTTGAGACTCTTGTCTCAGGAAAAAAGTGACTTTTTGTTCATATCTACAGCTGTCATATGTCAGCCCTTCAAAGCTTGCTGCCACTGGCTTTTATTTTAGAAGTCTTTGTTGTCTCATTAAGGGAAGACCTTTTTTGTCACCCCACTGGTTGCTAAGAGCGCCAACTGCTACTTGTGCGTCTTGGTGCTGCTGTGCAGCTGGCTGTGCAGACCCTCGCTGCCTTGCTGTCCTCCCAGCTGCCAGCTGCTTTCTGTGTGGTGCTGTGACTGCTGAGTTCCCGGGCCAGCACCTTCTCAAAGTGATGCCTGTTCCCTTGGAAACAGGAGCTGTTCCTTCCCCAGGGAGGGTTAAGCCAGGCTTCCGCAGTCCTTGTGTGTGGCAGTGAGCTTGTGCACTGGGAGCTGACTCTCCGGGCTTTTGCCCTATGGGAAGACTGCACTGCACCCACAGTCTTCCCACGGAAACATTGCATGGGCCGTAACCCCACACACTTTCGCGGAGTTGAGATGATACTTCACATGTTTATGCAGGGGTGTGTGTGTGTGTGTAAAGTGTGTAAGGTGGAGATCCTACTCCTCTTCTCCCTGAAAATTACAAATTGAGGAATTTGTTTTATTTCAGGGATTCATATTTTGTTAAACTAATGGTTTTATCTCTTTCTCTTGTTTATTTTGAGACAGATTCTCCCTAAATAGTTAAGGCTGGCTTCAAACTTGCAGAGGTCCTCCTGCCTCAGCCTTCTGTGTGCTGGGACTACAGGCATGCACCACCGTGCCAGGCTGATTTTCATTTCTTATACTGGAACCTTTATTATTCTTTTCATTATCAGAACATTATTGTAAATTAAGGCCTTATCTACTGTACTCTCATTGTCTACATTCTTAAAAATTTATTTTGCTATTCTTCTGGTAAACTTTACTGATTATTAAGATCAAATTTGAGTGGAAAAAAAAGCTCCTTAGAGATTTTCATTGAAGTTTTATTGCATTTAAATATTACTTTGAGGCTGGGTGTGGTGGTGCATGCTTGTAATTCCAGCACTCAGGAAGTTGATGCAGGAGGATCACGGTGAGTTCAGGTCAGCCTGGGCTACACAGCAAGACCTTGTCTTAAAGAAAAGCAAGCAAGCACCAAAAACAGTGGAATAGTTGTGCAAGGTTTTCTTTTCTACAGCTATGGATACAGTGACTCGAGCGATGACAGCTTTGCAGAGTCCAAGATAGCTGAGCTGGAGATCAGATGATGCACAGCTTGGAATGAGGGACTGTTGGCCTGGGTAAGCTGAGAGCTTTGAGTGCTGTGTCCTGTAGAAATGCTGCTCTCTCAGTGGAGAGAGGTGGGGCCACACTTGTCTTTCGGAAACCTGCTCTGGTTGTGCGGCAGTCAGCAGGATAGACCTAACGCCTATGACACTGTCAGGAGTTGACATTGGAAGTTGGGCATGGTGATGCACACTTGTCATCCTTGCCCTCGGGAGGCTGAGGCAGGAGGGTTGCCATGAGTTTGAGGCCATCCTCGACTATATAGCGACACCCTGTCTCAACAGACTGAGTTAAGATTAAGGTAGATGGAATTCCCCTGAGGCTGGGCCTGTGGGCACACTGGTACTGCAAGTGGGTCCTTGGGGCCATAGTGGTTGCAGTTGTGGTAGTATATTTCAGAGGGTGGCACTTTTGTTTTCATTTCTGTGAAGATGAATACTTACATTCCTTTTTTTTAAATTGTAGTGAACCAAAGGAATCATTTGAAGAGGTTGGCACATACCCAGGGTCATTCTGTTCACCACACCAGATGCAGAAAACTCTGTGGATGCTTACTTCTGGGAACCAGAAGCCAGGGGTCCCCCACCCCCACCGCAGGTGGCCTTGGGAGTCAGATTTCTATAGTTGATTAAACTTTCTGCAATGACCTATGGAGCACAAAATGTGTTTGTGTTGCGTACAGCCTCTCAATGGGAAAGACGAGCTGGGGGCCTGCCTGTTGGCCTTGCATGGTGTCATGTGGGAAGGGTGGCAGGAATGTGTTTTAAGGCATTTGGGGTCTGAAATAAGTCATTCTAAGGCAGATGTGGTGGTGCATGCCTATAATTGCAGCAAACTAGGAGGCTGAGGCAGGAGGATCTCAAAGTTGAGTGTGGCACAGGCAATTTAGGGGCACCCTGTCTCAAAAATAAAAAGTAGGGCCAGGGATTTAGCTCCACAGCATATTCTCCTACATTGTGTAGCTCACTGAACTCACTATGTAGCCAAGGTTCAGTCTCCAGGACCACACAGTGATAATCATAATAATAAATACAAATTGAAGAAATCTTGTTACTTGGAATCTGTGCACACTTTTGTAGGCCAAGATTCCCTCAGGTTCTCATCGTATCTGTTTCTCGCAAGCAGCTCTGAGATGGGGTGGTCAGTAAGGCCCTTGCCTCAGGCCTATTGTAAAGGTGGATCTTGAGAACTCAGGAATCAGGGTGCAAACCTAGGGTCTTGCATCTAGGCAAACAAGCGTGGATCGCAGAGCTGACCTGCAAACCTGATGCACCAGGCATTGACACAGGTATGGGGCCAGCAGCCCTGGGGCACTTCCGGCCTATCTTGGTCCTTGTACCTGGCGGCCAACAGGTTCCTTTCTGCCATCCATCTGCCTGCTGTGTGTGTTTTTTGTGAGTCACTCAAGCTGCAGTCCTTTTTGTCTGACTTCTTTCTTTTTAAAAGAATCATATAAAGATTTACTGGGCAGAATTTATGAGTTTTTGTTGTTGTTTTGAGGCAAGGTCTTGCTCTGTAGTTCAGGTTGATCATGATTGAAACTCATGGCAATCCTCCTGCCTCAGTCTCCTATGTTCTGGGATTATAGGCATGTGCCACCACACCTGACCCTAGGCAGAATTTTTCAATTAACCCTCACAGAGAAATGGAGTGTAGGCCCTCAAGAGAGAGGCCTGACTTCTTTCTTTCTTATTTTTGTTCATTTGTTTGTTTTTTGAGACCAGGTCTCACTGTAGTTCAAGCTCACCTTGAGCTCACTGTGCAGCCCAGGCTAGCTTTGAACTCACAGTGATCATCTTGCCTCAGCCTCCTGAGTGCTGGGATGACAGGTGTGTGCCACTATGCATGGTTTATTGGTTTGTTGTTTTGTTTTGTTGAGGCAGGCAACTTCTCACTATGCAGTGCAGGCTGGCCTGGAATTCACTATGTAGCCCAGGCTGGCTTTGAGCCCTTGGTGATCATTCTGCCTCAGCCACTGGAGTGCTGGAATGACAGGCATGGGCTACCACACCTGGCTTTCCTGGACTCTTGATGGCAGACAGGCAAACATTCAGAGAGCAGGGCCCAGATTCAGGCTTTTGGCTGGGTCCCAGGTAACAAGGGTGCCTTTCCTGTCAGGCAGTTGGAGCAGTGACACTGTCAGTGACCATTGTCATCTGCTTGCTGTCATTGCTGTTTGGATGGAGCCAAAGCTGAAGAAGGACCTCATTCTTTCGCCACAAGTCATCAAGAGTCTTTTTTTTTTTTGGTGGTGGTACTGGGAATTGAACCAGGGCCTTTGTGCTGAGCTATGTGCCCAGATCTTTTATTATTATTTTTTAAAATTTTGAGCCAGGGGTGGTGGTGCAGGGCTGTAACAGTGTGTCTGTGAGGCTAAGGCAAGAGAGTCGCAAGTTCTTGCCCTGCCCGGGGAACCTACCATACTAGCAAATTGGGAGAACTTGTCTCAAAAATAAAAAAGGGCTGAGGACAGAGCTCGGCTGAAATGTACTGGGTTTATTTCTTAGTACTACACTTGATTGATCAATCAATCAATCAGTCAATGTTGAGGTGGTCGTGCTAGGTCCCCCAGCTAGGAATTGGACTCATGATCCTCCTGCCTCAGCCTCTCAGAGTGCTGAGCTTCCATGTGTGTGCCACCATGCCTGCCGAGTGTTAACTTTTAAATGTTCCTCCTCTTTCTCTTTAATGAGAAGTCTTTGTGAAGCTGGACCCTACTGGCTTCTTGCATCTGCAGGAGGTCGTGCTTCTGGTTCTGTGCTGGCAGCAGCATTTCCAGAGAAAATCAAAGCATAGCACCTGTGGTTGGTCCAGCACTGCAGGAAAGTAATCTCCAGGCTGCTCTGTCACCAAGTCCTTGCTGAGTGGGGGCCTGGGCATGATGAGTCTCCACAGGCCATGTCTGCCCACGCACCTCAAAACCAAGCATAAAAACTAAGAAGGCAGGAAAACGATGTGTTCAGCAGAGCTGTCCTCAAAGCAGAGGGCCCACAAGAGCACCAAGATGATATAGGGAAGGGTGACAAGCAGGAAGAGTGACACAGTCTCTGCAGCACAAAGGTCTGGTCAATCATTATCTCATTGTCACCTCGGGAATTTCTACACTGCAGTAGACAGTTACCTGCCAGACCTGTGGCTCCTGAGTCCAAGAATGGGGAGAAGGACAGGTTATAAAGGCAAGATGGGCCAGCATGGGATGATCCCAGCACCCAGGAGGTTGAGGCAGGAGGAGTGGTGTGAGTTCGAGGTCTACCTGGGCTACATAGTTCAAGACCAGCCTAAATTATAATTCAAAACCCTGTGTCCAAAAACGAAAAAGCAAAATGGAGCCACTTAAGCCTGCAGGGCAGTGCGTGGTGACTCCAGTGGCCTAGACCAGGATGTGGTAAAAAAGCTGGCTGTTGATAACCTGTGGGTCAGGTGTCCCTGCCTATTCTGAAGCTGTTTTAGCCACGCCTGGTGTTCTCGGCCTTGAAGGGGATTAGCAGCTTTAGATGAGTCCTCCTGAAATGATTAATGCCCGTGTGCAGGGTTGAGCAAGAACCCGACTCTGAGTTGAAGGTAGCAGAATGAAAGCAGAGGTGCTGGGCTGTCATCCTGCTTTTAATGCTTATTTTTTAATGTCTTTTTTTTTTGCGGTACCAGGGATTGAACTCACAACCTCACACTTGCCAGGCAGGTGCTTAAGCCGCTGGGCTAAATCCCCAGCTCAATGTCTTTGTTTTTTTTTTTTTTTTTTAATGTCAGGGCCTTGCTCTGTATTCCAGGCTGGCCTTGAACTCACAGCAATCCTCCTGCCTCAGCCTCCTGAGTACTGGGCTGACAGGTGTGTGCCACCAGGGTCAGCTCTTCCTGTGTTGTTACTCTCATACCTGCAGGCCCAACCTAGGAGTCAGTGCTGTTAGCAGAAACAACCTCGAACTCTGTATTACAACCTCACCCTCCAATGCCAGAGGTCAGGGTGACAAGACTACTTGTCAGGATGGTTATTTTGAAGAAGATTTAGTGTAAGTGACCAATACTTAGTTAAATTGAATGATCTGCATTTCTGGAGTAGCACTTTCTCGGTGGATTTGCACAAACACATTGCTCTAGTATCTAAAGGCTCAGCTTTCAACCCAGAAGCCTCCACTGCGCCACACCAAAAGGACTATGCTTAGACTATGCTCAAGTTTTTTATAACTTTTTTTTGAGAGGAGGTTCTCAGTCTCATGCCCAGGCTGGTCTCAAACTCCTGAGCTTAAGTGATCCTCCTGCCTCAGCTTTCTAAGTAGCTGGTGCTACAGGCATGTTGCTGTGCCTGATTTTTGAAATGCGTTTGTATTCCTGAGTGAATATCATATTTCTCTTATGTTTCCTTTTTTTGTTCTTCAGCACTGGGGGTCAGATGCAGTGCCTTTCATGTGCTAGTAAGAAAGGGCTCTACTGCTGAGCTACAGCCACTTCCTAAGCATAACTCCTGATGTGGGTTAGAAGGAGATTTATTTAAATCTCTAAAGAACACGAGTAAATAGTTTTTATTGTTCAAAGGAAACTAAAACAGCTGTCCCTTGCCCCCACAAACGGTACACAGGCTAAACTCCTCCTACTTTGTGTGTGTGTGTGTGTGGCTTGTTTTTATTTTTGTGGTTTTTTAAAAACAGGATTTCGCTATGTAGTTCAGGCTGACCTTGAGCTCACTTTGTAGCCCAGGCCAGTCTTGAATTTGCAATGATCCCCCTGCCTCAGACTTCTGAGTTGCTGGGATGAAAGGTGTACCTTACCATACCCAGCTCCAAAGTTTTATTGGAATATAGCCACACCCAGTGGAGAGGAAATTGGTTACCAGAGAGATGCACAAAGCACTAAAGTTTTGCTGTCTGACCTTTTACAGAAGTTTGTTGATTGCTGATCTAGAGGGTGACTCAAGAAAAAATTCTCCTAAATCTCCGGTGGAGACTAGCTGGGAGTGGTGATGATGCCTTTAATCCCAGGACTCAGGCCAGCCTGGGCTACAGAGTGAGACCCTGTCTCAAAAAACCCAACCAACCAAACAACCCTTCCCCCCAAAAAAGAGTCATAAAAGAATCATGCCAGGAGATTCCAAATCCAAAGATTGTAGGACAGTCTGTCATTCTCTGCATCCAGCTGCCTGGTTCTCCAGCTTGGAGGAGGTTGTGTTATTGTAACAGGAAGCAGTGAGCATGGGTTAGGATTGTATTAGGCAGTCAGCACTGTGGCTGCACAATGCAGTCTGCTGAGTCCAACCCTTACAGGGATCTTAGAAACATCTGCCAGGTGGAGCCTTGGGTGTCCGGGACATCCCAACAGCATGGCCAGGTAGGCCATAGGCTCAGGGTGTGTGGGCACTGCATAGATTGGACCCTAAAAATATGTATCTTCCTATAGGCTAGAGATTGTGTTGCTCACACAACAACCAAGCTCCCTGCTAAACCCCTAAAGCCCCCAAGGAGCCCTGGTGGGTTTCCTGCTCAGAACCCCCTGGCTAGCAGAAGCACTACCTCCTTGCCTTTAGAGCTTTTAAATAAATCTGCTTGCACCCCTCTTCCTCTATCTGAAGATTCATTTTTTGTCACTGTGGGACATGACCCCAGCATTTTGATAACAGTGTCAGACTGTTCTGCAGCTTTAAGAGACGCTGCATAT